GTCAATTCTTCGTATTACAGATTTCTGGCGTTTCCATTATGGCAAAATTCTAGTATTGTATGGAGATTGGTCGAGTTACTGGACTGATGATGACTACACTAACTCCTCCTTCTTGACTTGAACGTTCACGTGAGATCGCGGCGCTCTTACAATTTATTTATTTATTTATTTACTGCACTCTGGGTGCGCTCCGAACTGAAAGGGCAGTAAAAGATTGTTAGTAGCAACTCAAACCGTAAATTGAAAAAAGCAATATAAAACAAACAACAGAAAAAACAGCAAATTACGACAAGGAATTTGAAATTTAAACTCGAACTGAACTCAAAACTCAAAAACCAGTAGAAACCACTTGCCTACCCTTGCGGCGAACGTGAATGTTATATTAAATCACTAGGCAACTAAAGGAGGAAAGAGCCAGCACAGTACTAGTTGGCCATTGCTATTTGATTTGTGGTAATCCTCGAGTGAATTTGGGAGTCAATTTGCCAGCAAGAAGCAACAACTACTCATAGAAAACAAATACGATTCAAGGTAGTGGGTGGTTTGAGAAGTAGATTCGGAAGATGGCAGGTGCGCGGTCAGTCTGGGCAACGCAACTAACCAACGTTATTCCCGGGCGGGCCAAGATAGCTACCTCTTTGATCTAAACACGAACCCAGGGCGTAAGACCCAGACCCAAGTATTTGAAAGTAAATACTTGTTGACCTGCACCAGGAAGAATGAAAAGAAAAAGCGAATCAGGCTGTTGTAGATGGGAACGGGTATTGTGTGGGAGAAGGCAGGAGGCAGTTCATCGAACGATTATTATCAAGCCTTTGGCCGGACTAGAAACTGACGGCAGTCGAAAAAAAGGGTTATGGAAGGATTAAGTTGCTAGCAAAGATAGGCAAACGGTCGGGTATTGTGATAAAAACTTTGAAGAGCAGCAAATGTGTTAGTAACAATAACCACCGTGACAGCATAACTCATAGTAAATATATGAGAAAGGAACGCTATTACCCCAAGGATGCAGAAACTGAGTATACAGAGAACAAATTAGCAGAACTGAAGAGGCAACCAGACAATTTTACCAGGTGATGGAAGATCATTAGAGACATGGTTGGAACCTAATTTGAGGTAGCAGTTGCTTTGAAGGAGGAGTTAGTGTCGCCATCATCAGTCCAGTAACTCGACCAATCTAAATATAATACTAGAATTTTGACATAATGGAAACGCTAGAAATCTGTAATACGAAATTGACATCAAGTCTATTTTGCTTAACCTCCTTTTTTAGACCCGTCGACGTGCGCAACAGCGCGTTACAGCGCGTCGTCGCGCGTTACAGTGTGCCAACGTGCGTTTTCGCGAAGTCCGAGCTGTGACCAGTCCTACAGAAGGAGTTCAAAAAGCAAACATCTTATCCGTATGATTGGTTGGGATTTGAAGGAAAGATCCCCATGAAGTTTTGACCCCCAACATAGATACCCTGAGAAATTTTTCCTTGGGGTCACTACCCCCACAGAAACAATTTCACCTGAATCGGGATTTTAACACAGATTTTGAAAAGTATGGTTGTGAGGAGCGAACACTGGCGAAAAGACTCTCTTAAAAAGGTGACTAATTGTCTAACTATCTTACGTTCACCCTTAACTATGAGCAGAAGAATGTGCGGTCTGGTTTCGCTGCAGATGATGGGGCGTCGTCAGCACAGCTGAGTTTGGCGCGGTGCAAACCTGCCCCTTTGGCAAGCGACAAGACTGTATTATCGTTCCTATACGCGCTGTGCGGCAGCATATTCCGCTTCACCGCTTCAAGACCACGTGGAGAACTAGGTGGGATGTGCTAAGGCAAGCCGCTCTGACAAACGATTATCACAGAGACGCGCGCCACAAGTATTTTGCCTAAGATTATCAGGTGGAGTAGGCCAAACCGACCTTTTCAGATTATCACTGCGGTTTGGATTGGGGTGAATGACGGCACGCAGCTTGAAAGAGATTGATATGGATTATTTGATCAAATTTCGCCCTGTTTATACTTTTTCAAATTCAATTCAGGATGTGAACTCGATGGACCACTAACACAAGAACTAATGAATACTCTAGAGGATAACTGCACTATAATTTTTGGTAATGTTGTTCTCCCGCGGTTGGACCCTCCTCCTTATGAGACTCTGATGCGGAAGTTTGGCACTGTTACCCGTATTGTTGGAGAAATATCCGTAATCGACACGCAGTTCGTTAATCTAAGCTTTTTCGGCAACGTAAGAGACATAGCAGTTGAGTACGACTTGCAAGGTAAGTCTTCAATGTGTTCCTTTTGGACCGAAAATTCCCAGCACTTTTTACCC